GAGGATATTCAGCCTATTTCAGTAGTTCCAGAATCCGCTCATTTGAGTTCCAGAGTCCTTTTACCTCTAGCCTTTCTTTTCGGATGTCACAGGGTGTAGAGTATCTTTTCCAGTTCCCGGTCCCCTTAAGATCATTAATGGAGGAATGGTTCTACACTGAGAGAGGTTTTCCACACAAGGGAGTATCTCAGTCTTCATCCATTGGAATTTCAGACACTAGTACCTGGGACTCTGCTCGTAAGTAGTAGATGCAGTCCTTAGACTGGCTAAATGTTCCTCTCTGCCTGTAAACAATGCAGGATCTTTCTGAAGCTCCATGGAGTATACATGGTTCTTCTCCTCTCTAAAGCCTATATGGCAGCTGGCACAGGCTTTCATCTTGCTGTAAGGTTTTACCTCAATCTCTAAGGATCTAAGATTGGTATGGATAAATTGGAGGAGCATATCAGAGATAAATTTCCTTTGTCTCTTGACAATTTACAAGTCATTAACCGGGAATAGTCTTCAGCTAAGAAGTCTATGTAGCTTGCATTATATTCTAGCCAGAAATATGACTTTCTTTGTGTCTATTAGCTGGGCTCAGGAGACCCTTCTTGATCCAAAGATTCTCATTAACTTCCTTCTCAGACCAAGGTAGGAGACCCTTTTGATCCAAAGATTCTCATTAACTTCCTTCTCAGACCAAGGTATTTCACACCAGGAAGAGTGTGGTAGATCTCAACCTTGATGTAAGTGGTCATTATTCTACCAGAGGAAGAGAAAAGGTAAAAAAAGATGCTTTGTAAATCGCATGGCTTCCCTTCAATTAGAGGAAGCTATTGTGAGAATTTTTTTAAAAAGCAACTAGAACACAAAGACTCTGTTTCTAACAGGTGTTGGAGATCCATTCTAATTTACAGGATTCTTGAACATTCTTATTTATAAAGGTAGTATTCCTAGTACATTGGATGAGTTCTATAGAATTGCAGGATGCTTATTGCCATCCTTTGTATCCTTTGCCTCACATCACTTTTATTTTTACATCTTCATGGGGAAAGATGAATATCTGCTGTAGTCACCTTGCTCCCTCCCAGTTCAGGGTATAGCTGGGAATACAGTTCGACATGGTCCATGGCTCGGTACAGCTCTTTTCAGACTAGCATATTACCCCAACAGAGAGAGTTTTGATCCAGGTCCTCCACCATAGATCTGATAGGATGTCACAAGGGCGGAGGTTAACTTACCTATGGAAATCCTTTGGACAGTGATAACCATGAATACCATCCACTGGGGTTGAGGAACTTTTCTCCAAATTCAAATATGTTCAGGAAAGGGACTCCATTAACATCCAACATTTCTCTTCTGCATAGGTTGCAATAGCCAATATCAATCATCCTGACAGTTCCATATTAGACATTTTTTTTTTTTTGGTACATTTGAGTTGGTCAGTTTGATAATGTGCCATTAGTGGGCAATCAGTTTTTCATTTCGAATGTCCTTATGAGGTGTGTGTATGTTGTCAATTTGCATTCATATTTAGGAAGTCTTGTGTACTTCTTTCCCTCCCTTGGTTATTTCTTGGGTATTACCCATTGTTGTGCTGCCATGGATATGGCCAGGAAAGAGGACAATGTATTCCTACTTACCGTAATTTTCTTTTCCTGGTCATAGGCCGTGGCAGCACAAAGATCCCGCCCTGGGATATTGCTGGAAACAAGACTGAGGGTGGAAGGGGTAGGAGCGGTTACTTATACCTTCTGTTTTAATTAGGTTCCTGTCTGGTTAGGGATAGGGAGGAGCTACCCATTGTTGTGCTGCCATGGCCTTTGACCAGGAAAAGGAAATTACGGTAAGTAGGAAAACATATTTTCCTTTTTTGTGCCCAAATCCCTCTCTCTCACTTTCCTGGGAACAGCATCACTAAGAACAACTAGGTTTCCAGCAGAAAACATGGAACCTAGAAAACGAATCTTACTCTGTAACAATCTGCCATCCCTTCAGTTCTGCTATACAGTGGTTATTGTGCATTTCATTACAATATTGATAAGAAATAGATATTGACACACTTAGATAGATATCAAAATGTTTAATTATAAAACTATTGGTGTGTAGGTAAGCAATACAAACATATTTATTGCAGACATTGTCAATAAGTCTTGAAATATTTATTAGCAGTTGTAACATTTGGGGTCAAACACATACTCATATTTAGTGTGTATAACTGTATCACATTTAGAACCCATGTTTAGTGTGTATAAATGTACTCCAGAACACATCAAAAGCATCCTCTACCAGTGGCGGATCCAGAGCCTGATCTCGGGAGGTGCACTTGTAGATTATTTAAAGAAATAATCCAGACACAACAACCACTACACCTCAGTGTAGTGGTTATGGTGTCAATAGTGCCGGGACCCCCTCCCACAGTAAGTAGTCAAACCGTTTAAGAACAGTTTGACAACTTATCTGAGGTCCCCCCCCCCCCGGATCCGCCACTGTCCTCTACTATAAGAAGTTACTTTAAAAATAAAAGTCATATTAAATGTATTAATAATTAAGGTCAACTGTCATCAGATTTTTATTTCTCATTTTTAAAGGTTTTATGCATTTAGTAAAATGTCATGATTTATTTAAAAATTCTGTTGATTGATTTTTTTGAGAATATTTTGCTTTTTTGAATCTAGCTGAGCGAACATATTGGGTCAGATTCTACTTTATCTGACCAACTGCTACTCTACCTAACTTGCTGCAGCTGTAATTGCTCTGTGTGAACCTGTAGCAAGTTAGTTGGAGCAGCTGTTGGTCAGATAACAGTAGAGTCTCACCCAACATGGTCTCCGGCTAGATAAAAAGTGACATTTTTAAACACAAAACACAATATGTGGTATAGATTATTTACCAATTGGTGGATCGCTAAATAAATAAAACTTGTGCAGGGGTTGACTTACCCATCAATTTAGTACCTTTAACAAACTCGAAGGTACATGTGAAAAGAAAAAGGAACAAAGAAAATATATAGTGCAGATGGTTTGGGGAATAACGATCAGTAGTAAATAAATAACCAGAGCCACTCACATGGTATGGAGCCTACATAATATTGGCTCCGTAAAATTAACTTCTTTGCTCTTAGAGCAGCAACACACCACTCGCTCTGTGACGTTTCCTCCAAGAGAAATGCAAAAGAAAGAGAGGTGACCAATGTGTGATACTGTACAAACACAGATAAACCACCAAATGGTAAGTATTACACTCACCTTTTAAAGAACCTTCAATTCCTGGCTCTGAGGGTAATTAGCAGAGTGCCACTTTTCTGGGAATGGCACTTCCCCAATGAAGATTCTCTGAGACTTCAAGGACTTAATTGGGATAGCATTTAAAATTAAAATTGAAATTTAGTGATACCAAGTAAAAACATATAGTATATATTTAAAAATAAAAAAGCCCGTTGGGAGCTCCAATTTTTACATCATGGAGATGGCTGGGTGCAGGGCCTCCTCACCCACCGCCGTTACATAGATTGACTATTTATTTTTTTTGGAAAGGCACAGAAGAATCTTATAGTTTTTATTAATAAATTAAATGATAAGGATTGGGGTATAACTCTAACTACAAATTTTAGCAAGATTATGGTAATTTTTTTAGATTTGGATATTTTTATTGAAGGGAACAAAAGTAAAACCAGCACCTTCTTTAAAATAGCTTTATACACCCCACAAGCTGCCATTTTGCACCCTGGTTAAAGGCAATCCCGAAATCACAATTCCTTCAAATTAGAAGGAACTGGGCGGAAAAAACGAAATACATTGAACAGGCAGATAAACTAAAAATCAGCCTATTAGAAAAAGGTTATAAGAACGCTCTGTCCAACGATTTTAACCAAGTTTTAAAAAGAAAAAGAGAGACCTTATTAGGATACAAGGATAAGGATACAAGTAAAACTAAACCAGATATGGTAAGTGATATACTTATCATTTGCAACTATAGCCATGGCAATAAACAATTTAGGAAGTTGAATATCAATAAACACTACCCTATTTTAAAGGAAGAACTTATTTTATCTAATATTTTATCAGACAAAGTAAGAGTGATTTTCAGAGGAGCACCCAATATGAAAGCATTATTAGTAAAGAACCAACTCAGAAAAGAATGTCGTATAGAATCTATTGACACCAGGAATGGTTTCTTTGGGTGCGGCATGTGTTTAGCATGCAGGAGCACAAACAGCAAAAGAGATACATTAGAAAATGTAATAATTCAAAGAAAGATGAAGAATTTACCATAAGGAATCGTATTACCTGTCAATCAACAAACCTAATTTATTTATTGGAGTGCCCGTGCGGCCTAACATACGTGGGACGCACGAAATGTAATTTACACCTGAAAGTGGAAAAACACGAAAGAAACATTAAAAAAAGGCTATGAAGGTCATAGTGTGTCACACCATTTTAAAATGAAACATAATAGTAACCCCAATGAACTCCAGTTTTTAGGTATTCACAAAGTTTCAGGGAACCGGAGAGGCAGAGATTTTAATAAGGTTTTATGGCAGAATGAGATGGATATTCAACCTTGGAACTTTACAGCCCCAAGGTCTGAATATTGATTCTGAATTATGCCATTTCCTCTAATAGTTCTCTTATTTCTAATTTAGACCTTTTTCATGCTTCTATTTTTCAGTAATTAAACAACATAGAGATATCCAAAAACATAAATGTTATCGTTTTATTTACATTCCTTTTTGTTTACTCGATTTGATATAAATTTTCTTTTTCTGATTTTTTTTTTCCTACCCTTATTAACTTTTACTGAAGGTGGTTTTAAAATATGTAAACGGTATTGGATTATATAAATCAGGGAAACCTCATGTGAGAATCCCTGGTTTGGTATTTCATAAAACTAAGTAAATGATTGAATGAAATGTCTTCAATAGTGATGTCCCGAACGGTTCGCAACGAACGGTTCACCACGAACGGTTCGCCACGGACTCATCATTGAGTAAACTTTGACCCTGTACCTCACAGTCAGCAGACACATTCCAGCCAATCAGCAGCAGACTCTCCCTCCCAGACCCTCCCACCTCCTGGACAGCATCCATTTTGAAGCTGCATTCTTAGTGAGCTGTCCAGGAGGTGGGAGGGTCTGGGAGGGAGGGTCTGCTGCTGATTGGCTGGAATGTGTCTGCTGACTGTGAGGTACAGGGTCAAAGTTTACTCAATGATGAGTCCGCATCGGCGAACCATTCGTGGTGAACCGTTCGCGAACCGTTCGGGACATCACTAGTCTTCAACAGTAAACAATGTGTGAGAAGATTGCTGCAATATAGCAAAAGATAACCATTTAACCGTCTATTCAATGATATAACAGGCTTTATTATCCATTGCCAAAAATAAACATAACACCGACAGTTGTATCTATATGCTAATTAGATATAGTGAGCCTAAAAATCAATCCAACAGGTGATATATTGTGTCTCTATATATTCTCTATTCGTATAATAAACATCCCTTCAGAATCATTTCATAATTACAATGTCCAAATAATCTGGAACAATCGGTGAAAAAGGAGAGGGGAGTTTCATTGAAAAATAAAATAAAACAGTATTATAATAGGGAGAGATCACCTACATTGTCAATTGGCTGTGATGGTAGTACAGGGGTTTATTGGAGGTGAAGAGTAGGGTAATAATTGTAAGATAAGTACACCAAGCGAGATGATATTGGAAGATCTGGAGAGATAGGAGGGAGAAGGTAAGTAACGTTAGACACAGCTTAGGTAAGTAATATGGTAATCAAAGGTAGCAATTATCTGGAGGCTTAAAAGTGCCTATTTCAATACATATATGCTGCTCCTTATGCTGCAAAATGTCCACTTATCTATAGCCTGGACTATTAAATACAATCGCCAAAACCCTTCAATTACTGCACCTTCAAGGGTGCATAAAACCCCCAGAAATAAGTATAATCTGCTGCACCTACACGGTTCTATTAATGCCTGTTACCAATATCCTATAGAACCTTCATGGATGCTAATGGTATAAGTCCCTGTTTAAACGGCTGCAATGGAGACTCCTATCTCCTAGTATTCATAGGTAAACCCTAACTTAGCCCCCTGGAGCATCCTCACAATAAAAACACAAGTGGTGATCAAGCTTAGTGCATAGTGAGTAAAGTGCTAAGTGAGAAAGTAAATAAAAATAAAGTCCCAGTATATTGGAGTATACCTTATATTTGTGCAACCTTAGCGGGAGGCGTGGCATCCATGGAATGCTGGTAAATGTGACAAGCAACTTAGTCCGCGACATCACTTCCGCCGGCCGCATACAGGAGGTCACGCACCCGCAACCAACACCCCTGGCCACCAATAAAAGGAGTTATGGAAAAGTTGGGTCTGGGGATTGCACGCCTTCTGTGGGTAGAGGGCGGATGTGGCGAGAGGCAAAGTCCACAACGTCACTTCCACCAACCACGGACTGGAAGTGACGCGTCCAGACGGACACCACTTAACCACCAATGAAAACTGTGACAGATTAATCTGTAGGACTAGTATTGCTAGTTCATCTAGTTTGCCTCCCTTCGTGGAATTGCCTGTCCGTATGCCCCTATTCGTCTTTTTGAACTCATACCGAATGAAACTACCAAACGGACGGCCACCCAGAAGAGAAGTGTGCTGCTGGTTAACCTCTTGGCCCCAATTAGAACGTTGTGGTTTACCGCAGACACCTCTTAATTATAACCGAATGCCGGGTGGTCGTCGTTCGTATGCCGACCATGAGGCGGCGGCCATTTTGGAACATGTGGTGTTCGGCGCAGATTCTATGGAACTATAAACGGACACTTTTTCTACTGAAAACCGCTGAATCTACCGACCGCCCTTCTCATTCGTCGAGGCATGCGAACACCGGTCCGTTCGGGAGTTTGGATGATACGAATGGACTTAACCCAGATAGCCATCCCATGGAGTCAATCGCATACCGAAAAGACCTGTAAAAGACTTTGACTCCATGGCGATTGAACTGTGCGTATGGGATCTGAGCACTATTCGGTAGGAATATGCACTCAGATCCAGGCTATCTGGGGATACGTTGCACGTATGTAATATGTTCGGTATTTGTACAATTACATATTTTTATGTATTTTTAATGTTTCATTTAAAATGGCGATTTGCCTCTGTCCTGAGAGATAATTGAATTACTTCTCAATTATCTCCAGGGCAGAGGGGAGGAAACCAGGATGCATTGTGGGAATATTCTGTGACTGTATGTCCTAAAGTGATATATGTCTGTCTGTAGCTAGAGTCTCTCATTTGGTCCCGTAGGTGAGTGTCCACCAAGTGGGAGACCTGCATAAATACAGGTGGGTAGCCCACAGTAAAGCCAGTTCTTGTTTTACCCTCAATGCGGAGCTTGGTCTCGTTATTGGGGGGATTTACTACACACGGTTAGCAACTGATTGCTGGAAACGTAAGCCGCTTGGAGATTATATTTGTTCGGCTGTTAGCCGCGATTCGTGGATTTATTGTTCCGGGGGTTTGGAGGACTCGTACGGATACCGTTCGGAAGATTGGCGCATTCCCCTGGCTTCAGTTCGTGCGGTTGAGGTATACACGAATTGAGCCTGCATTACTAAGGAGGGGGAAGCTTAACTAAACTGCGGTTTCACTCCTCTGTGCCAGGGGTGTCTTAACAAAAACTATAATGAAAAAGTGGCAAAATTCAATTACCCAATAATGGTTTTTAACACACAAGTGCAGTTAATTGCCCAAAGTAATTGTACAAAATTCGAATTTGGGATTGGCTAATCTAATAATATGTGACCCTAAAGGGGAGGATCCAAAGGACCAACAGTACACTTAAAAGATGGAGAACTCTTCAGGCTACTCTATAGCTGACTGAGGAAGCTCATGGATGAGTGAAACGCGTTTCGGCAGATTTGGACTTTATATTGGACTTTTTTTATTTTTAAATATATACTATACTATAAGTTTTTACTTGGTATCAATACATTTAAATTTTAATTTTATACGCTATCCCAATCAAGTCAAACCATTTGGTTTATCTGTGTTTGTACAGTATCACACATTGGTCGCTTCTTTTTCTTTTGCATTTCTCTTGGAGGAAACGTCACAGAGCGAGTGGTGTGTTGCTGCTCTAAGAACAAAGAAGTTAATTTTACGGAGCCAATATTATATAGGCTCCATACCATGTGAGTGGCTCTAGTTATTTATTTACTACTGATCATTATTCCCAAAACCATCTGCACTATATATTTTCTTTGTTCCTTTTTCTTTTCACAAGTACCTTCGAGTTTGTTAAAGGACCACTCTAGGTACCCAGACCACTTGCCGCGCGTGCGCATTCAGCCGAATGGGAGGATCGGAGGCGGAGAGGAGGAGGAGAGCTCCCCGCCCAGCGCTGGAAAAAAGGTAAGATTTACCCCTTTCCTCTACCCAGAGCCGGGCGGGAGGAGGTCCCTGAGGGTGGGGGCACCCACAGGGCACTATAGTGCCAGGAAAACGAATATGTTTTCCTGGCACTATAGTGGTCCTTTAAAGGTACTAAATTGATGGGTAAGTCAACCCCTGCACAAGTATTTATTTATTTAGCGATCCACCAATTGGTAAATAATCTATACCACACATTGTGTTTTGTGTTTAAGAATGATTGTGGGCATAGGGGTATTCCACTTTATGTGTTGAGTGGCTTATTATACGGGCACTATATTGTATCACTCTGTACCTCCTAGTACAGGTACATTTTGTTTTTGTGTTTGAAAAAGTGACATTTACTCAAAAAACCCCATGCATTTTAAAAATGTAATTAAATGTCATTAAATATAATAAACTTTTAAAAAATTAAAATTTGACAGTTGACATTTAAATACTCATCTCTTATTCTGAATGAATTGCTCAGTTATAGAAATACAATTCCCTAAAACAAACGTCTCCCAATGAAATCCACTTCAAATGGCTGGGCATTGTACAAAGCAATAAACATTGGTGGCAGACAAACCAATTTGAGACCGCTTTCCTGTAAAGAGTTTAACGCGTTCGTATTTATAGTTTGAGAGTGTCACCAATCCCCCGCATTACACAGAGTGTTTTGTTACATTTGGTAAAGGATGAATTGAGGGATTGGTGTAGTTTGCAGTAAATGGTGGGGAGTTTGCGTTTATAACATACTGTGTATTTTTCGGTTACTGTTACTAGGTGAGCTTCAATAATGAAGAAAATGGCCAAACCTTCATCTAGGGCAGCGGGACCTGAACTCAGACTTAATTTTCTTTGCTGCCGCTGAGGTGAAGACGTGAAGAAGATCACTTGTTAATGGGCCTTGCAGGTACAGTTGTACATATTGCCTGGGTAGTGTTCCTCCATTTGGGCTCCCTGATACAGATCTCAGAATACAGAAAGCAAACCGGGAAATGGATAAACCCGTGTCTGGGAGAAAGTAGCAGAGAAATACAGTAGAATCCTAAAGATTGCTCAACTTTAACTCCTTGGTTTTTAACACATCATTTTCAAGCAGGTCCTTCTTTTTCACGTGGTCATGTAAACGTCTAAGTTAAGATGAATGTAATATTTCATTATGGCTGCTTGATGTCTAAGGTTGCAGTGAGATGGAGCCAGCGTGCAAGCATTAGGGGATCCACTACAGCTCCCCTGCTACTTACTGTGAGTGCTTGATTGGTTTTATATTAGCTGGGACATTCTCCAAGCTGGAAGAATATTAGCAGGCATATTGTAACGACAGACAGCATTCTAACTATACATCATGCAACACAAACATTCACTGATTGTAAAGTATGAAAATGTTACATTCAAAGGGACAGCATGTAAGACCCCCGAGACATGTGGCAACAATGAACCCATCTCCTGGCATGCCATCGTTCAATATCCCAATGTATTTGCTTCCTTTTAATAGAGTAACGTGATAGTATAACATACTGAGTATAAAGCATTATTATATAGGGGCTAACTCACTCAATGACAATTTCAAAATCCACTTGCAATTCTGCATTGAAAAAATAAAAGATAAAATGAATTTAAGGTATTAGTGGGCATTCAGTTCCATGTTGCCGTGTGCTTCAGTGTACATAGTATTTATTAATAATAACTAGCTTGTATTCCATCTTGTCTCAGATCTTAATACCAGTGGGGAGTCGCTGTCTTTTTACTTTCCTCTCATGCATTATACACAGTACCTTGAGACAGCGCATGTGGATTGAAGTAATATCTTTCATCATATCTCCCTTCTTTAGCACAGTGTAATGTGATGGCTGTGTTAGGCCGTAGCACGGTATACTGCCGTTTAAGTCCCACACTCTGCTGTGACAAAGTCTAGACATCCGGGCCTATGGTCAGCCCTCCTATAAGGGAAGCGTTATGGTAATGTGGGAGCTGTAATGGTGGAACAGTGTGTGAGTCCCATTTATTATTTCCATCATTGTACTGCCTCTGAAAAGTAGTGGTTATCCGAGAATGGAGGTCGTATTGTCGCTCTCTGATTACACTTTGTTTATGTACCTGGGATGAAAAGTTTAAAAAAATAACACACGTAAGCATCATGCATGATTACATAGAATCTGAGCATGGTCATGTCAAGCCGTAACAGGAGCCAATAGCAGGCTGCAAGACATAGAAACAGATTGGCAAGCCAGCAAGCCGTAACAGGAGCCAATAGCATGCTGCAAGACGTAGAAACAGATTGGCGAGCCAGCAAGCCGTAACAGGAGCCAATAGCATGCTGCAAGACATAGAAACAGATTGGAGAGCCAGCAAGCCGTAACAGGAGCCAATAGCATGCTGCAAGACGTAGAAACAGATTAGCGAGCCAGTAAGCCGTAACAGGAGCCAATAGCATGCTGCAAGACGTAGAAACAGATTAGCGAGCCAGCAAGCCGTAACAGGAGCCAATAGCATGCTGCAAGAAGTAGAAACAGATTAGCAAGCCAGCAAGCTGTAACAGGAGCCAATAGCATGCTGCAAGAAGTAGAAACAGATTAGCAAGCCAGCAAGCCGTAACAGGAGCCAATAGCATGCTGCAAGACATAGAAACAGATTGGAGAGCCAGCAAGCCGTAACAGGAGCCAATAGCATGCTGCAAGACGTAGAAACAGATTGGCGAGCCAGCAAGCCGTAACAGGAGCCAATAGCATGCTGCAAGACGTAGAAACAGATTGGAGAGCCAGCAAGCCGTAACAGGAGCCAATAGCATGCTGCAAGACGTAGAAACAGATTGGAGAGCCAGCAAGCCGTAACAGGAGCCAATAGCATGCTGCAAGACATAGAAACAGATTGGTGAGCCAGCAAGCCGTAACAGGAGCCAATAGCATGCTGCAAGAAGTAGAAACAGATTGGCGAGCCAGCAAGCCATAACAGGAGCCAATAGCATGCTGCAAGACGTAGAAACAGAGTAGCAAGCCAGCAAGCCGTAACAGGAGCCAATAGCATGCTGCAAGACGTAGAAACAGATTGGAGAGCCAGCAAGCCGTAACAGGAGCCAATAGCATGCTGCAAGACGTAGAAACAGATTGGCGAGCCAGCAAGCCGTAACAGGAGCCAATAGCATGCTGCAAGACGTAGAAACAGATTGGCGAGCCAGCAAGCCGTAACAGGAGCCAATAGCATGCTGCAAGACATAGAAACAGATTGGGGAGCCAGCAAGCCGTAACAGGAGCCAATAGCAGGCTGTAAGACTTAGAAACAGATTGGCGAGCCAGCAAGCCGTAACAGGAGCCAATAGCATGCTGCAAGACGTAGAAACAGATTGGCGAGCCAGCAAGCCGTAACAGGAGCCAATAGCATGCTGCAAGACGTAGAAACAGATTGGCGAGCCAGCAAGCCGTAACAGGAGCCAATAGCATGCTGCAAGACGTAGAAACAGATTGGCGAGCCAGCAAGCCGTAACAGGAGCCAATAGCAGGCTGCAAGACGTAGAAACAGATTGGCGAGCCAGCAAGCCGTAACAGGAGCCAATAGCAGGCTGCAAGACGTAGAAACAGATTGGAGAGCCAGCAAGCCGTAACAGGAGCCAATAGCATGCTGCAAGACGTAGAAACAGACTGGCGAGCCAGCCCTTCATTAAAGCACGGCATTGATGTTTGCCATGCTGATATATGGTTTAAATCTATTACTCTCTTTGGCATTAGTAAGGTTAAGCATACAATACAGGATTGGCAGCAAGGCTATAGGAAACACTAAACACACAGCACCTAACAGCGTCTGTATGTCAGAATTACATTACAAGTGTGGATTTACTATCATTGGGGGTCTGCCTACAAAATACATATTGACCACTCACTTCCAATCAGGTTCTTCAGCCTCAGTCACCTGTAGTTCCAGCACCTCTGTAACACTCTGTCTGTTTTCTGGAGGGAATAATTTTGTAAATAGTTACAGGTAATGATTTTGTTGCAATGAAATTTGTGTAATTTTACAGTTATCCTGCTGTAACTGATCTGACAAACAATATTCAGCAGAATTAATTGAGCATGCCCCCCTGTTTTTGTGAAGGGGGTGCTCTAAGTGCAGTGTGTGCTCTGTGTGCAGTGTGTGATAGGTGCTCTGTGTACAGTGTGTACAGTGTGTGATGGGTGCTCTGTGTACAGTGTGTGCTGTGTGCTCTGTGTACAGTGTGTGATGGGTGCTCTGTGTACAGTGTGTACAGTGTGATGGGTGCTCTGTTTACAGTGTGTACAGTGTGTGCTGTGTGTGCTGGGTGCTCTGTGTACAGTGTGTGATGTGTGTGATGGGTGTTCTGTGTACAGTGTGTGCTGTGTGTGCTGGGTGCTCTGTGTACAGTGTGTGCTCTGTGTGATGGGTGTTCGGTGTACAGTGTGTGCAATGTGTAATGGGTGTTCTGTGTACAGTGTGTAGTGTGTGATGGGTGCTCTGTGTACAGTGTGTGCTCTGTGTGATGGGTGTTCGGTGTACAGTGTGTGCAGTGTGTGATGGGTGTTCTGTGTACAGTGTGTAGTGTGTGATGGGTGCTTTACGTACAGTGTGTAGTGTGTGATGGGTGATCTGTGTACAGCGTGTGCTGTGTGTGATGGGTGCTCTGTGTACAGTGTGTAGTGTGTGATGGGTGCTTTATGTACAGTGTGTGCTGTGTGTGATGGGTGTTCTGTGTACACTGTGTGTGCTGTGTGTGATGGGTGTTCTGTGTACACTATGTGTGATGGGTGCTTTACGTACAGTGTGTAGTGTCTGATGGGTGTTCGGTGTACAGTGTGTGCTGTGTGTGATGGGTGCTCTGTGTACAGTGTGTGATGTGTGTGATGGGTGTTCTGTGTACAGTGTGTGCTGTGTGTGCTGGGTGCTCTGTGTACAGAGTGATGTGTGTGATGGGAGTTCTGTGTACAGTGTGTAGTGTGTGCTGTGTGTGATGGGTGTTCTGTGTACAGTGTGTGCTGGGTGCTCTGTGTACAGTGTGATGTGTGTGATGGGTGTTCTGTGTACAGTGTGTAGTGTGTGCTGTGTGTGATGGGTGTTCGGTGTACAGTGTGTGCTGTGTGTGATGGGTGTTCTGTGTACACTATGTGTGATGGGTGCTTTACGTACAGTGTGTAGTGTGTGATGGGTGCTCTGTGTACAGTGTGTGTGATGTGTGCTCTGTGTACAGTGTGTGTGTGCTGTGTGTGATGGGTGCTCTGTGTACAGTGTGTGTGATGGGTGCTTTACGTACAGCATGTGCTGTGTGTGATGGGTGTTCTGTGTACAGTGTGTGATGGGTGCTCTGTGTACACTGTGTGTGCTGTGTGTGATGGGTGCTCTGTGTACAGTGTGTGTGTGCTGGGTGTGATTGTGTTGTGGGTAACTTGCGCTGTATGTGAATGGCATAAGAGATGGATGTTAGATATTGTATGAATATAGGGTGGGTGCCAAGTGGCACACTTTATGTAGATTTTTAAAATTCTTTATTTACATATAACCAATTGTCAGAGCTGCAGTTGGATTTAGAGTTTATGTGTTTATGTGGATATATATATATATTTTTTACCAACCAGTTATATATTTAAAGCCTTGTTACTGATTATAATGTTGGGGATTCCAGGGATATTATCTGAGCAGTGTCCTCATCGACCCATTGTTCTTGTAAAATGAATTGTCTCATTTATGGTCACATTTCTCACTTTTATAATATTGTTGGCGCATAAAATCCAATAATAATAATATTGTTAAATACACATATATTTGAATTTACCCTGTAACTTGATGCGGTGGCTACGTGAAGCAATGTATTCAAATATGCCACACACCACCACGTCTTTTTAACATGATTCTTGTCTTTACCAACAAAGACTTTATTACTCTGGAAAATGAGCCACCAGGAAGCAGCACAGACTGTGAACGTCTTATGAGCATGGCCCTGCTTGGGGCTTATAACATTATACAATACAGAATTATCCCAACTGCTGCTAATCTCTTATTGCTCTTCTGTCCATTGATAATGGTAAACATCTTGGTTGGAGTAAGGATGGAAGGGTGAAATTTGCAAAATATACGTCTCAAAACTGCATTACTGGAAAACTGCAGATGGAATTTAAACTTACATCCATACAAAACAGACAAACACGATTCAGTCCAGAGATTCAGAATGCTTGTAGAGTTCTCTCAGTCAAACATGTCTATACATTGGTGCGAAGTGTCGTTGAGTAAATCTGACCTGGGATTAGAAAGGCTACAATCCTCGCGGTGCAGCTCATGTAAGACTTTGAAGCAGTTATCAAGCAGGGCCTTGGGACGGACTGGTTTCCTTTCGGCAACATCATTTGGTACTTTCAACCTCGTGAGAATCCCAAGAATAATTTCATTACTCACCTGCTAAAAGTACAGAGACAAAGGTTTAGGGAAAACCTGATTACTGCAGCAGTATTGCCAAAACCAAAACTGAGATTATCCCCACATCAGCCGTTCTCAATGCAATGATTATTGCCAGGATTTTGGAGAGGTTTCGTTTAACTTGTAAGCGGCTTAAAATCGGAATTACTGTACTTCCTGCCACGTGTCCTACAAGTGTTAATGCGTCTAATCCTTTGTCTGTACCTGCCGAATTTTCAGCAACTCTTTAAATATGGCTGCAAGGTCAGTGACGTACTGCAGCGAGGGATGTCTTCCAGGGAGTGCTGACTTCATTTTAAACAGGATACGCTCGTTAACAATACCCCACAGGTAACGTAACTCCTTAACTGGAATCCCTTGGTTTCTCTGCAAGGAGAGAGGAGTTTCGGACATTTTACACATTATTTCTGATTAAATGCTGCTGGCAAGTGTTTCTAAGACAGATCTTTGTGAGGACAGAAGCCTGAGCTTACATGCAGGTCATACAATGGAAATAATGTGTTAAAGATGGAAAATATCTCTCTATTGCTGCAAAACCGCTGCCTCTTAAGTACAAGGAAGAGGCTGAGATTTTTCCAACAGAGACAGTAGGGGTTTATGGGAAGTGTAGTCCAGCAGACGCAAATCATTCCATTCATGAAAGCACATGAATGAAACTACTCGGCAAGAAATCGTGGTTTGTTTGTTTAGCTACACGAGCAATAAATGCAGGCCCTGCCAACCAACCTGTGTGCATGGATCTTACATTATTCTAGCACAGACGTAGGCACTCCAGATGTTACGGACTACATCTCCCATAATGCTCTTACACCCATTATGTTGCAAAGCATCAGGGGAGATGTAGTCCACGTTGTTCTAGTATATAGCAATCACCATGGAAACAAGCTATTCCTGGCCATTTGCTCTGCTTTTGGTGTCCGGTTTCCAAATCTGAACTACTTTTCACCCAGTGGCACTTTGACATCTCGCCCAGTGTGTTCCCCCAAAACCCAGGCCAGAGAGGATTACCAGGTTTGTGATGTTGTGGCAGCGTAGCACCTCTTCATGTTTCACCAGGAACTTGTAATCTAATGGAAAGTAATCACTCTGACAAAAGAAAAGAGACAGCAGTTATCAGATATCAGAGCCATATCTGAACTATAACACAAGTGACAATTCATTCCCATTATTTAATACCTAGAGAATGAAAACATGCAAAGGATGACAAATACCGAATCTATAATAATCAAATATTTTGATTACACTGCTCCTGCTGATCAGATGCCCAGGGCCTAGGTAGCCAGGTAGCTAAGTATCATGTCCAGCTCCCGCTGATGACGTTGGTACCTCATGTTTTAAAATGTGAATAAAACAGCTATTCCAGAGCGGCATCAAGAGGAAGAGAACTACAAAACCAGCTCTGATAAATATACCGTATAGCGTTTTTTTAATTTAATCATCTAAAAATATGCCATTGGACCATGCATGAGTCACCAAAATCTAAATTACTTCCATGTTTTATGCTACAATGTCCTTAATCATAGCTTATGATTGAAGTCTTCACTGTCACTACCCTTCGCTACCAAATGCGTACGTACAAGATTCAATGGCATTGCTCCCATACCCAAGAATCACGCAGACACCACTTGTACAATTTAAGTTTGCATTTAGGGAATGTTTTTCAGCTGATTCCAGGATTTTTACTCCACACCCTTGGAGAGGAGAGGTTACATAAACATTTAGATAAAGCTTGAGTGTTTGTTTGCATGTGTTTTAGTATGTGTCTGTATGTATGTATGATTGTCTGTGCCAGTGTGTGTCTGTCCCAGCGCGATGCTAAGTAATGTGTTTGTGGTGTGGTTGGCTAGGTACATATGTGTGTGATTAGTGGATAAGAATAATGTGAGAAGTGTGTGGTAGCATTTGGGGGATGAGTGGGGGTTACATCATTTCTTTTTTTCTTTCTTGTTTTCAGGCAGTGAAATGTCCTGGGCCTGTCCTGTCTCTGTATACTCAACTGTGCTGGAAAGCATACTCGCAAAAGAAAATATGCGAGTAGGAGTATCAGCATATGTCCAGGCGCTGAACACAATGAGATGTTGTGCCTGTGTGTGTATGTATCATTACGTTTGTCACTCTCTGTTTGTCAGTGTGTGTTTGTGTGTGCATATATCAGTGTCTGTGTATTTGAGTGCATATCTGTGTGTGTGTGTCACTCTGTGTCAGTGTATGTGTGTGCATGTATCAGTGTGTCACTCTGTGTCAGTGTATGTGTGTGCATGTATCAGTGTTTCACTCTGTGTCAGTGTATGTGTGTGCATGTATCAGTGTTTCACTCTGTGTCAGTGTATGTGTGTGCATGTATCAGTGTTTCACTCTGTGTCAGTGTATGTGTGTGCATGTATCAGTGTTTCACTCTGTGTCAGTGTATGTGTGTGCATGTATCAGTGTTTCACTCTGTGTCAGTGTATGTGTGTGCATGTATCAGTGTGTCACTCTGTGTCAGTGTATGTGTGTGCATGTATCAGTGTTTCACTCTGTGTCAGTGTATGTGTGTGCATGTATCAGTGTGTCACTCTGTGTCAGTGTATGTGTGTGCATGTATCAGTGTTTCACTCTGTGTCAGTGTATGTGTGTGCATGTATCAGTGTTTCACTCTGTGTCAGTGTATGTGTGTGCATGTATCAGTGTGTCACTCTGTGTCAGTGTATGTGTGTGCATGTATCAGTGTGTCACTCTGTGTCAGTGTATGTGTGTGCATGTATCAGTGTGTCACTCTGTGTCAGTGTATGTGTGTGCATGTATCAGTGTGTCACTCTGTGTCAGTGTATGTGTGTGCATGTATCAGTGTGTCACTCTGTGTCAGTGTATGTGTGTGCATGTATCAGTGTTTCACTCTGTGTCAGTGTATGTGTGTGCATGTATCAGTGTTTCCTCTGTGTCAGTGTATGTGTATGCTGTATCAGTGTCCTCTCTGTGTCAGTGTATGTGTGTGTGTATCAGTGTACTCTGTGTCAATGTATGTGTGTGCATGTATCAGTGTTCTGTGGAGTGTATGTGTATGCTGTATCAGTGTGTCACTCTGTGTCAGTGTATGTGTGCATCAGTGTATCAGTGTTTCACTCTGTGTCAGTGTATGTGTGTGCATGTATCAGTGTTTCACTCTGTGTCAGTGTATGTGTGTGCATGTATCAGTGTGTCACTCTGTGTCAGTGTATGTGTGTGCATGTATCAGTGTTTCACTCTGTCAGTGTATGTGTGTGCATGTATCAGTGTGTCACTCTGTGTCAGTGTATGTGTGTGCATGTATCAGTGTTTCACTCTGTGTCAGTGTATGTGTGTGCATGTATCAGTGTTTCACTCTGTGTCAGTGTATGTGTGTGCATGTATCAGTGTGTCACTCTGTGTCAGTGTATGTGTGTGCATGTATCAGTGTTTCACTCTGTGTCAGTGTATGTGTGTGCATGTATCAGTGTTTCACTCTGTGTCAGTGTATGTGTGTGCATGTATCAGTGTTTCACTCTGTGTCAGTGTATGTGTGTGCATGTATCAGTGTGTCACTCTGTGTCAGTGTATGTGTGTGCATGTATCAGTGTGTCACTCTGTGTCAGTGTATGTGTGTGCATGTATCAGTGTGTCACTCTGTGTCAGTGTATGTGTGTGCATGTATCAGTGTTTCACTCTGTGTCAGTGTATGTGTGTGCATGTATCAGTGTTTCACTCTGTGTCAGTGTATGTGTGTGCATGTATCAGTGTGTCACTCTGTGTCAGTGTATGTGTGTGCATGTATCAGTGTTTCACTCTGTGTCAGTGTATGTGTGTGCATGTATCAGTGTTTCACTCTGTGTCAGTGTATGTGTGTGCATGTATCAGTGTTTCACTCTGTGTCAGTGTATGTGTGTGCATGTATCAGTGTTTCACTCTGTGTCAGTGTATGTGTGTGCATGTATCAGTGTGTCACTCTGTGTCAGTGTATGTGTGTGCATGTATCAGTGTGTCACTCTGTGTCAGTGTATGTGTGTGCATGTATCAGTGTGTCACTCTGTGTCAGTGTATGTGTGTGCATGTATCAGTGTGTCACTCTGTGTCAGTGTATGTGTGTGCATGTATCAGTGTGTCACTCTGTGTCAGTGTATGTGTGTGCATGTATCAGTGTGTCACTCTGTGTCAGTGTATGTGTGTGCATGTATCAGTGTGTCACTCTGTGTCAGTGTATGTGTGTGCATGTATCAGTGTGTCACTCTGTGTCAGTGTATGTGTGTGCATGTATCAGTGTGTCACTCCGTGTCAGTGTATGTGTGTGCATGTATCAGTGTTTCACTCCGTGTCAGTGTATGTGTGTGCATGTATCAGTGTTTCACTCTGTGTCAGTGTATGTGTGTGCATGTATCAGTGTGTCACTCTGTGTCAGTGTATGTGTGTGCATGTATCAGTGTGTCACTCTGTGTCAGTGTATGTGTGTGCATGTATCAGTGTGTCACTCTGTGTCAGTGTATGTGTGTGCATGTATCAGTGTGTCACTCTGTGTCAGTGTATGTGTGTGCATGTATCAGTGTGTCACTCTGTGTCAGTGTATGTGTGTGCATGTATCAGTGTGTCACTCTGTGTCAGTGTATGTGTGTGCATGTATCAGTGTGTCACTCTGTGTCAGTGTATGTGTGTGCATGTATCAGTGTGTCACTCTGTGTCAGTGTATGTGTGTGCATGTATCAGTGTGTCACTCTGTGTCAGTGTATGTGTGTGCATGTATCAGTGCGTGCCACTCTGTGCCTGTCACTGTGTATGCGTGTGTGCATCTTCTAGGACATAGGGTTTTATCTCCTGTTTTCTATTCCTTAACATGAATCCGTTATGGAACTTTCTACTCTTCGAGTGTTTATTACACTGTCTACCAGATGACACTTGCCATGTACATTAACCTCTTTTCATACTGCAGCTTGTCATTTAGCACTTCTGTGATTTTGCACTCGTTTGGAATGACTGCTGCTCTCCCAAGGACCAGTATGCCTGTAACACAGAATTCACAGTATGTCAAAGTCACATTTACTCAAAGATGACTGTCAGCCTTACGCTATTATTAATACAATCACTCAGTGAGCGCTGACAGTCAGCCTTATACTATTATTAATACAATCACTCAGTGAGCGCTGACGGTCAGCCTTACGCTATTATTAATACAATCACTCAGTGAGCGCTGACAGTCAGCCTTACACTATTATTAATAGAATCACTCAGTGAGTGCCGACAGTCAGCCTTACACTATTATTAATACAATCACTCAGTGAGCGCTGACTGTCAGCCTTACACTGTAACGGACCGTTTTGCACACAAGGGGTAAAAACCGTTTAGGCGATCGGCCCCCTTTCCAGAGATGCAGGCACAGCTACTGCAGAACACCAAACTCCTGAACTGGATACAAAATAGCACTCCAACTCCCGAACTGGAACCTCCCAAATAGCTGCTAGCAGACGAACAGGAAAAGCTCCCAAGCGGCTTACACTCCTGGCAATCAGTCTCTAACAGCATACAGTGAATCCCCCCAAGAACGAGACAAGGCTCCGTGTTGAGGGTCAAGCAGTGGTCTGAGGTGCTGGCACACCCAGCCTGGTTTTTATTACAGTCTTGCAAATACAGGACCGCCCACAGGGAGGTATAAAACAACCAATCACATCACAGTTACATCCCACATATTCCCTCCCCTTATCCTGAGAGGAAACTCAATTATACATACAGTTAAAACATACTTTCTACCCAACTTTCATAACTCTAAAACCATACATCACATTCACATAAAATTACATATTTGGAATCAATCCATTCAGGGGAACAACATATTAAAAAATGGCATGAATAAGACCAGGGGTTCAAAAGTTAAGGGAAAGTCCTTTGTGACTAAATGAAGCATGGCTTTCCGGCCCAAACCAGTTTCAGAGTCTTCTATCCTGGAGATAAGTAATTCAATTATCTCCCAGGACAGACACAAGAATCCATTAAGCACATGGTTGCAAAAAGACACAAAACACTTTAAAATACATAAAGTCACCTTTTATACATAAAACACAGACATTTCACATATCCCCAGATAGCTCAGGTCTGAGCGCACATTATTAAGTGAATGGCACTCAGACCACACAAATACAGTTTAATCGCCATGGAGCCAAAGTCTTTACAGTCAGTTTCATACAAATGGGCTCCATGGGATTCTGATCTGGGGTATAACACATTCAAACAAATCTACCGAACCCCAGGCAGAAAAGCATGAATGAAGCTTTTCTGCAGGTAAAAAAGATGTCTTTTAACAGGGGGCCATAGTCCAAAGGCAGCAGGCAAGCAACCAGGCTTCTCCAATGCAATGTGGCGAGATTGGTCTCGTCACATACACTATTATTAATAGAATCACTCAGTGAGCGCTGACAGCCAGCCTTACACTATTATTAATTCAATCACTCAGTGAGCGTAAAGCTGACAGTCAGCGCTCACTGAGTGATTGTATTAATAATAGTATAAGGCTGACAGTCAGCGCTAACTGAATGATTGTATTAATAATATTGTATTAATACAATCACTCAGTGAGTGCTGACTGTCAGCTTTACACTATTATTAATACAATCACTCAGTGAGCGCTGACTGTCAGCCTTACACTATTATTAATACAATCACTCAGTGAGTGCTGACTGTCAGCTTTACACTATTATTAATACAATCACTCAGTTAGCGCTGACTGTCAGCTTTACACTATTATTAATACAATCACTCAGTGAGTGCTGACAGTCAGCCTTACACTATTATTAATGCAATCACTCAGTTAGCGCTGACTGTCAGCTTTACACTATTATTAATACAATCACTCAGTGAGCACTGACTGTCAGCCTTACACTATTATTAATACAATCACTCAGTGAGTGCTGACAGTCAGCCTTACACTATTATTAATACAATCACTCAGTGAGTGCTGACAGTCAGCCTTACACTATGATTAATACAATCACTCAGTGAGTGCTGACAGTCAGCCTTACACTATTATTAATACAATCACTCAGTGAGCACTGACTGTCAGCCTTATACTATTATTAATACAATCACTCAGTGAGCGCTGACAGCCAGCCTTACACTATTATTAATTCAATCACTCAGTGAGTGTAAAGCTGACAGTCAGCGCTCACTGAGTGATTGTATTAATAATATTGTATTAATACAATCACTCAGTGAGCGCTGACAGTCAGCCTTACACTATTATTAATACAATCACTCAGTGAGCGCTGACTGTCAGCTTTACACTATTATTAATAGAATCACTCAGTGAGCGCTGAGAGTCAGCCTTATACTATTATTAATACAATCACTCAGCTAGTGCTGACTGTCAGCCTTACACTATTATTAATGCAATCACTCAGTGAGCGCTGACAGTCAGCCTTACACTATTATTAATACAATCACTTAGTGAGCGCTGACTGTCAGCTTTACTCTATAATTAATACAATCACTCAGTGAGTGCTGACAGTGAGCCTTACACTATTATTAATACAATCACTCAGTGTGAGTGCTGTCAGCCTTACACTATTATTAATACAATCACTCAGTGAGTGCTGACAGTCAGCCTTACACTATTATTAATACAATCACTCAGTGATCGCTGACAGTCAGCCTTACACTATTATTAATTCAATCACTCAGTGAGCGCAGACTGTCAGATTTACACTGTTATAAATACAATCACTCAGTGAGTGCTGACTGTCAGCTTTACACTATTATTAATGCAATCACTCAGTAAGCGCTGACTGTTAGCCTTACACTATTATTAATACTATCACTCAGTGAGCGCTGTCAGCTTTACACTATTATTAATGCAATCACTCAGTGAGTGCTGACTGTCAGCCTTACACTATTATTAATTCAATCACTCAGTGAGCGCAGACTGTCAGCTTTACACTGTTATAAATACAATCACTCAGTGAGTGCTGACTGTCAGCTTTACACTATTATTAATGCAATCACTCAGTAAGCGCTGACTGTTAGCCTTACACTATTATTAATACTATCACTCAGTGAGCGCTGTCAGCTTTACACTATTATTAATGCAATCACTCAGTGAGTGCTGACTGTCAGCCTTACACTATTATTAATGCAATCACTCAGTGAGTGCTGACTGTCAGCCTTACACTATTATTAATGCAATCACTCAGTGAGCGCTGACAGTCAGCCTTACCCTATTATTAATACAATCACTCAGTGAGCGCTTACAGTCAGCCTTACACTATTATTAATACAATCACTCAGTGAGCGCTGACAGTCAGCCTTACACTATTATTAATACAATCACTCAGTGAGCACTGACTGTCAGCCTTATACTATTATTAATACAATCACTCAGTGAGTGCTGACAGTCAGCCTTATACTATTATTAATACAATCACTCAGTGAGCGCTGACAGTCAGCCTTACCCTATTATTAATACAATCACTCAGTGAGCGCTGACAGTCAGCCTTACACTATTATTAATACAATCACTCAGTGAGCACTGACTGTCAGCCTTATACTATTATTAATACAATCACTCAGTGAGTGCTGACTGTCAGCCTTACACTATTATTAATACAATCACTCAGTGAGTGCTGACAGTCAGCCTTACACTATTATTAATACAATCACTCAGTGAGTGCTGACTGTCAGCCTTACACTATTATTAATACAATCACTCAGTGAGCGCTGACTGTCCCTGGTTTTGTATAAATATCAGTAGTGACCATTGGAGAAAGCTTTAGAATATATTCTGTGACATTCTTACTGAGGAATAATACTGCACTCTCCATCGCCCCCTACTGGCTGAGCTCTCCTTGGTGAGATTCCTTTGGGTGATTTATCACAAGACGGAGGGTTAATCTACACACTGCTTCGTTTGTGATGTCTCTCAATGGATGCTGTTTGAGTCTTTCTGTAAAACAGAAAATAAAAGTTGCTGTGTCGCTTAGTCCCATTTAATCATATTAAAAGCCACACTGCTGAAGGCATACACAGCACTCCTATACATCACTGCAGAGCATGCGTTTCCTAACACTGTATGCACTGAATGTCTAATGTGATTTAAATAGGTTTACTGTAAATTAGCATGGTACGACAATTTTACAGATCTAATATTCACATTAGTAGCAACATTACACCAAGATTTCTGTGTTAATGGCATGTAAAACCTACACAGTGAGCTGAAAACCAAGATCCAGAGTTTATACGAAGAAGCCATGGTGAAAGTTTTTTTTAATTATGAATACTGTATGGTAAATACATTGAGGCCAAATAGTGAAGATTAGATGACTGGGTCAGAGCATCTCCAAATGGCAAGTCTGGTAATCAGTGGTTAGTACCTACCAAAAGTGATGCATTGAAGGACAACCGGAGAACCAGGGTCAGGGTCAGGTTCATGGACGCCCAAAGCTCGTTGATGCACTTGAGGAACGAAGGCTAGCATGTCTTGTCTGATCACACAGAAGAGCTACTATAGCTCAAATTTCTGAAAAACCTAATGCTGGCCATACTTTTATATTACTATAAAATTCACCCTCTTTCTGGTACAATCGAGATCCCGTTTAGTAAACCAATCACTGTTGTTGGAATCTACCACCCACCTAGCTATCTGGTGCACTCCCTTTCTGACATAACCCAGCTCCCTAGTGAAACTGTAGCTCAAAACCAAAAAAGTGAACTGTTGGTTTTTGGAGATGTTAATACTGATTGGCTGAATCCTAAAAATAATAAACCCTGTCCATTGTTTAAGACTTTGCAAATAACTAAATTAATTACCTCCCCAACTGAAAAGCCATAACCGTACTTTGTTGGATTGGATTCTCTGCACTAGTCCTGATAGAATTCAGTAGGTGACCCTATAATGTGTACCCCTTTAATCCCAGATCTGGACTGTGTAATTAAATGTTTTCAGTCCTCGCTCTTGCGAGTTTGGAGTTTTCTTGCCCCACTGCTTAGAGTGTGAGTTAAAGGGACGCATCTGCCTTGGGTTACAGTTGATCTCATTCAAATGCACCAGTGTAGAGACTCACTGTGATCAAAGTTCAAGCGTACTGGCTCCATGAACGATAACTGCACTTACAAACAATGGCGAAATGCACACAAAAACACAAATGGCAAAAGCCCAAACTTTTAATGAAAATTTGAACAATAAAATAATAAACCCAAGAAACGTTTCGAAAATCACAGTAACATACAAACCCCCAAAATCCACTCCCAACCCCCACTGTAAAATATACAACCAAAACTCTGCAACGGCCCCTAGATGTGCCTAATGCATTTAATAATTACCACTTTTGAGAAAGCTTCGGCGAAACGCGTCAAGTGAGGAAGAATTTTGGACTTTTATACAGGACTGGTTTTATAGTTTATTATTCACTTTTCACTTATTGTATTAAAGTATATATATATTTTTTAAACTATCCAGTCATTCCTTTTGTCCTCCTTCCTATCCAATACTGCTTTGCTGCTATACCTGGGTCCACTATATCCCAAGGTGGGGATTATTCCACCTGAAATTCTCCAAACTAGAGCAGGTCGTTGCTCTAGTATATGTAAGTAGGATCATCCACTTTTTTTTTTTTCCAATATTTTATATTTACGTACTATACCATGTGGTGTATTTTACTCTTGTTTTTCATATAACTAATATTTACACCTATAAATTCATCAACGGTCTTGAACCTCAAGAAATCCATAGACGGGGATTATTCCGTCCAGGCTCTTAACACCGAGCTGATATAGCTCCTCAAAGTGTGAGTGTGAATATAACACCTTTGTTCTTGTGGAATTATATCGTTCATACATACTGTACCATTATTTGTATTTTGGTTTCTCTTTTTTTTAAGCTACTCTGCTGGCCAGTATTTCTACAAAACGTATGTACATTTTCTGATTTTTAGCGCTGTTCACCTTTCTATTTTATCTGTCCATTTATCACAAGGTAGAGGAACACCTTGTTGGTGAACTGCAGCTCACCCCTGAGAAGAGAGCGCTTATTATTCTTTTGCATTTAATAATTACCACCCTGATAGCCAGGCTAACGAATGACAGTCAATCTGAAATTACAAATGCAGATGAGGCCCCACTAAATTTGCAAAGACCTCATGTGGAGAAATTCAGTTTTAGACCTGTCCCTGTTCGTGTCGTTCATAAACACCTAAATAATTTAAAAATGAAAACCCAGTGTGGACCAGATCAAATCCCAGCAATGTTGCTGAAGCTCAGTGCGCCGGTAATTGCTCAATCTGTCACTACCATTATCAATGAATCATGGTGCCTGGATACATACCCAAACTTTGGAAGGCTGCGAGAGTAGTGCCTATCCATATAAGTGGTTACAATACTTTATCTATCTGTGGCCCGATATCATTGTTCCTGTATTACAAAAAATCTTGGAAAAATGCATTTCATGCAACTATGTGAATATTATCAACAATCAAATTATCTGACCCAAATCACTCAACTACGACTGCCTCTTAAAGGACCACTATAGTGCCAGGAAAACATACTCGTTTTCCTGGCACTATAGTGCCCTGAGGGTGCCCCCACCCTCAGGGTCCCCCTCCTGCCCGGCTCTGGAAAGGGGAAAGGGGTTTAAACTTACCTTTTTCCAGCGCTGGGCAGAGAGCTCTCCTCCTTCTCTCCTCCTCTGTTCCGCCCCGCCGGCTGAATGCGCACGCGCGTCAAGAGCTGCGCGCGCATTCAGCCGGTCTCATAGGAAAGCATTTACAATGCTTTCCTATGGACGCTGGCGTGCTCTCACTGTGAAAATCACAGTGAGAAGCACGCAAGCGCCTCTAGTGGCTGTCAATGAGACAGCCACTAGAGGGAATAGGGGGAAGGCTTAACCCATTAATAAACATAGCAGTTTATTAAAAAATGCTATGTTTATTAAAAAATGGGTTAACCCTAGCTGGACCAGGCACCCAGACCACTTCATTAAGCTGAAGTGGTCTGGGTGCCTAGAGTGGTCCTTTAAAGATTTGCAATGACATCCAAATTGGCATGGAACAAGGAGACTTAACTGGAGCTATTTTCCTTGATCTTGCCAAGGCTTTGACACTGCGGACCATTACATTCTACTGTAAAATCCCCTCATAGGAGATGGTCTCTGTGTGTGTATAGGGGATATAATGTAGTTTAGAAGGCTATAATGTATGTATAGGGGATGGTATCTGTGTATATGAGTAAGGTATGCAGTGTGTGTATAGGAGATATAATGTAGTTCTATTCTACCTCTGTGAACTGGTGTTGGAGCACAGCCTCAAGCTGCGGTAGCTTGGGTTTACTAGCGTAGATTACTGTGCCGTCCACGTACACCTGTACAGTTGAGGCTTTGCAGATGATAGGCAGATCATTTATGAATACTGTTAATAGTAGGGGGCCAAGTATGAAGCCTTGAGGAACATCACACGTAATTGGAAGAGGGAGAAAGGCGCTGTCAGAAATGGCCAGATATTGCAATCGATCAAGATTTTACAGTAGAATGTAATGGTCTCTGTGTGTGTATAGGGGATATAATGTAGTTTAGAAGGCTATAATGTATGTATAGGGGATGGTATCTGTGTATATGAGTAAGGTATGCAGTGTGTGTATAGGAGATATAATGTAGTTCTATTCTACCTCTTTGAACTGGTGTTGGAGCACAGCCTCAAGCTGCGATAGCTTGGGTTTACTAGCGTAGATTACTGTGCCGTCCACGTACACCTGTACAGTTGAGGCTTTGCAGATGATAGGCAGATCATTTATGAATACTGTTAATAGTAGGGGGCCAAGTATGAAGCCTTGAGGAACATCACACGTAATTGGAAGAGGGAGAAAGGCGCTGTCAGAAATGGCCAGATATTGCAATCGATCAAGATTATACCCCTATAAAATACATTAAATCCCTGTGAAGAAATCACCATGATATTTTGTTTATTTTACTTTGTTCCATTCGGTAGCTGTAACTACCGAACACCGACCACCCTCCTGGCTGTTTAACTTCAAAGAGAACAGTCGTTTAAGCACCCTCCCTGTGTGGCCGCCGATCGTATAGTCGAACGCCACGTATATGAGAAAACAGCGGCCATCTTGTTCGCACGAAAGGAGGCAGTAGGACTTGGTCATCGAGTGTCTAGAACTAAAATCAGACACTCAACTTCACGAACAACGGTCCATACTGTACGAACGCCTGCTTCCTTTTCCCGAACAGCTAGGAAAGCGCTGTTCGGTAGTTTTGTTACCACTAACTAGGGCAGCGGTAGGGAACCTATGGCACATGTGCCATGCATGGCACACGAGGTGTCTTTGCATGGCACTTAAGACTGCTAGAGCTAAACAGGCTCTGGCCTATCAGGAGTCCCAGTGAAACTTCATATATCTGCTAATATGAAAAGATAGTGAAGGACAATCCTCAATTTATGCATTGCAGCACGTAGAGGAAGTTATCGGAGATCACTTCCTCCCAGCACTTGTGAATGGGAATCCACACTGTAGTAGAGCAGCTCCTGTCTCTGACCTGTACCTGGCCAGCCTGGTCTCCACTGGAACCCAGGGAAGCCACCCACACTGCTAGATATACACAGACCTGCAGGATAACCTTCCCCTCATACAAAAAATACAAACAGCCCACACACAAACACACATACAGTCCGCACAAACACAACACCATTAACACCACATACATGCACACAACCCCACATGCAACCTCTCACATGCAATACCCCAAACAGCCCCCCCACATACACACACTACCAAACACACAATGTGACATATCCATCCACACACACAATTCCACAAGCTGCCCCCATACACAGCCCACATTCATATGTATCATACATAACACCACCAACTGCTCCTGAACATATACAATATAATACGCACAACTACAATGATACAAAGCAACTGCTGTATATATAACACAGGCAGAATACGGCAACATACACACTTAAATTTAAAAAAAAATAGGACCGGCAAGTTTTGGGACATCACAATCTTATTTCAGCACAGTGTTGCTTAAAGGTTGCCTACCCCTGAACTAGGGGAACAATTGCTTCTATAAGCCAGGGGGAGCAGTTCGTGCATTTATTTGTTTTTCAGACTTCACGAAATAGACCGGCCAAACCACTAAAACTTATGGAACTGTTTTGGGCAGGAGCCTCGTGTGCGGCTGGTCACCTAAGACTTCCATAGAATTTGAAAACCCCTGAACTGATCTGGGAGATTTTTGGATATGTTGGTCATTTGTGGGAATATGACATTTGTGGGTACATTTCACGTTTTGGGGAAATTGTAATCTTTGTGCTTGGAGATAATTGAGTTATTACGTTATCTGACCCAATTATCTCCAGGCAGATAGGTGTATGTTTATACTGGGAGTGTCACAGTTTTCCCCTGCATTATTATTGGCTGTGTTCCTATGCCCCACAAGGTCCACGTGGGGGGTCCCCTTGCATGGGGACTTGCATAAAAGCCAGTGTGGCACCCATTAAAATTCAGTTCTGTTACACCCTTCATCTAGTTTCGGCTGATGTTTGGGTACCTGTCTGCTTTACTGGGAGAATCTACTTGGGAAGCTGTTATTTCGTATGGAGAATCGTTCACTTCAATTCCCGAACTGCGGTTATAATCACTCATGCTCTGGCAGTTCGGGAGGAAACAGACGAACAGGTATAGGATATACCAGCGTTCGTTACAATCCCCTATACACACACTGCATACCTTACCCATACACACACACACACACACACACAGATACCATCCCCTATACACTCATTACAGCCTTATAAACTACATTATGCCTCCTGTACACACATGGCATACCTTACCTTACCCATACACACAGATACCATCCCATAGTCACACATTACAGCCTTATAAAGTACATTATATCCCCTATACACACACAGATACCATCCCCTATACACACATTATAGCACTATAAAATACATCATATCCCCTATACACACACTGCATACCTTACCCACACACACACACAGATACCATCCCCTATACACACAGTACAGCCTTATAAACTACATTATGTCTCCTATACACACACGGCATACCTTACCTTACCCATACACACATTATATCCCCTCTACACACATGGATACCATCCCCTGTACACACATTATAGCCTTGTAAACTACATTATATCCCCTATACACACACTGCATACCTTACTCATATACACAGATACCATCCCCTATACATACATTACAGCCTTATAAACTACATTATATCCCCTAAACACACACAGATACCATCCCCTATACACACATTATAGCCCTATAAAATATATTATATCCCCTATACACACACTGCATACCTTACCCATACACACACACACAGATATCATCCCCTATACACACATTACAGCCTTATAAACTACATTATGTCTCCTATACAGACACTGCATACATTACCTTACCCATACACACAGATACCATCCCCTATACACACATTACAGCCTTATAAACTACATTATATCCCCTATACACACACTGCATACCTTACTCATATACACAGATACCATCCCCTATACACATATTATAGCCTTCTAAACTACATTATATCCCCCATACACACACTGCATACTTTACTCATACACACATTATATCCCCTATACACAAACTGCATACCTTACCCATACACACAGATACCATCCCCTATACATACATTACAGCCTTATAAACTACATTATATCCCCTATACACACACTGCATACCTTACTCATATAGACAGATACCATCCCCTATACATACATTACAGCCCCTATAAACTACATTATATCCTCTATACACACACTGCATACCTTTCTCATACACACATTACATCCCCCTATACACACACTGCATACCTTACCCCCCCCCACACACATATATACCATCCCCTATACACACATTACAGCCTTATAAAGTACGTTATATCCCCTATACACACATTACAGCCCCTATAAAATACATTATATCCTCTATACACACACTGCATACCTTACCCATACACACACAGATACCATCCCCTATGAGATGCATTATATACCCTAGACATACACTGCATACCTTACCCACACACACATATACCATCCCCTATACACACATTACAGCCCCTATAAAATGCATTATATCCCCTATACACACACTGCATACCTCACCCATACACACATAGATAACACCCCTATACACACATTACAGCCCCTATAAAATGCATTACCCACAAATACAATGCCACAAACAGACCTATTTACACACACACACACACACTACAATAAACTGCAACAGTTCCCTCTACACACACACACACACACACACACACACAATGAATCCCATAAGCAGCATTTACACACATGCATCTTACCCATTCCTGGCTATGCCCTTACTTTTGTAGATTTTTTATTTTTTATTGCAACTAAACTTGAGGAAGTTTTATTTTTCACACCAAATACATATGTGTTAAATCAAAGGATAAGTGGAGTTGAAACTCAGAGAAGAGTCAGTTTCCCTTTAAAAATCACACTATAGTCACCAAAAAACAAAGTTGTCTTAGTGAAGTAGTTTTGGTGTATAGATCATGCCCCTGCAGTCTCACCACTCAATTCTGTGCCAATTAGAAGTTAAATCACTTTGTTTATGCAACCCTAGTCACACCTCCATGCATGTGATTACACAGCCTTCCTAAATAATTCCTGTAAAAAGAGATATAATGTTTACACTTCATTTATTGCACAGTTGGTTTAATTTAGAATGTTTTGTATGTCCTGCTTTGTTAATAGCTGCAAGACAATGCATTGGCCTCCTATGTGTAAATAAAGTTCAGGAACGACCCCCCAATACTGCTCAGTCTCACAGAGTTAAACGGCAGGAATTGGATGTCTCGTGGATTCACCTTCCATAGTTATTGTTATAGAAAGATACACAATTCCAATCAGTGACCGAAGTCCTTCCAGCAACTTTTTTACATCTGTAAATAAAACCTTCCCACAGGGCTACAGGGGTGCATGGTTACAGAGGTAAAGAGATGCAGGGGTACATCGGTGAAGGGGTACAGAGGTACATGGGTGAAGGGGTACAGGGGTACATGGTCACAGGGGTACATGGGTGCACGGGTACAGGGGTCCAAGGGTACATGGGTGCAGGGCTACAGGGGTACATGGGTGCAGGGGTAAAGGGTTACACCCCATGTGTTGTTTTTGGATGGTGATCCAGTTAAAAGAACAGCCCTAGCTTTGTTTGAATCTCTTTGATGCATAAAATAGACTCCTGTGTGGCTTCTAGTATAGCCAGACCCCACTAACTTTATATCTCAGGCTGATTACTTACTTTGTATCTGTGACTGATTGCTTACTTTGTATCTGTGACTAGTTACTTACTTTGTATCTGTGACTGATTACTTACTTTGTATCTGTGACTAGTTACTTACTTTGTATCTGTGACTGATTACTTACTTTGTATCTGTGACTAGTTACTTACTTTGTATCTGTGACTGATTGCTTACTTTGTATCTGTGACTGATTACTTACTTTGTATCTGTGACTGATTGCTTACTTTGTATCTGTGACTGATGACTTACTTTGTATCTGTGACTAGTTACTTACTTTGTATCTGTGACTGATTACTTACTTTGTATCTGTGACTAGTTACTTACTTTGTATCTGTGACTGATTGCTTACTTTGTATCTGTGACTGATTGCTTACTTTGTATCTGTGACTGATTGCTTACTTTGTATCTGTGACTGATGACTTACTTTGTATCTGTGACTAGTTACTTACTTTGTATCTGTGACTGATTGCTTACTTTGTATCTGTGACTAGTTACTTACTTTGTATCTGTGACTGATTGCTTACTTTGTATCTGTGACTGATTGCTTACTTTGTATCTGTGACTAGTTACTTACTTTGTATCTGTGACTGATTGCTTACTTTGTATCTGTGACTGATTACTTACTTTGTATCTGTGACTAGTTACTTACTTTGTATCTGTGACTGATTGCTTACTTTGTATCTGTGACTGATTACTTACTTTGTATCTGTGACTGATTGCTTACTTTGTATCTGTGACTAGTTACTTACTTTGTATCTGTGACTGATTGCTTACTTTGTATCTGTGGCTGATTACTTACTTTGTATCTGTGACTAGTTACTTACTTTGTATCTGTGACTAGTTACTTACTTTGTATCTGTGACTGATTGCTTACTTTGTATCTGTGGCTGATTACTTACTTTGTATCTGTGACTAGTTACTTACTTTGTATCTGTGACTAGTTACTTACTTTGTATCTGTGACTAGTTACTTACTTTGTGACTACTTACTTACTTTGTATCTGTAGCTGATCCTGATTCCCAGCTTGGATGGAGATCAGATAAGAAGTGCACAGAGGGTGACAGCTGCTTTCTCTGTCTGGATTCTTCTTACAGAGCTGAGAGCTAGCTATGTGGGAGGGAGAAGGAGTTGACTGCAGAGGAATGAAGAGAAGGAGATCCCTCCCTCTTTGTCCTTCAGGAGACAGCATCTCTCTTAATGACCCCCTTGAGCCCCTCTAAACAGGACCATTGGCATTCACAGCATCCAGCAAGTCTCACCAGGACATACACATCCCAAGGGGGTGCTTTGGATATTCCTATAGAGGGATTCTTCATTGAGATGAAGTTGTTATGGTGCCTAGAGTCCTCATCTCACAAATATGGCAATTTCAACAGAAATCAGCAATTTAACTTGACCGTGATGTTTTTACCCACAGTGCGTAGGAAATGTAATGACATATCCCACAGAGCTAACAGAATTGGCAACCACGCTGGACTAGCTACAAGTGAAGCATATGTTTTTCTCTATATGTTTTTGCATAAATACAACATGAAGACAATGGGCAGGAGGAGGGAGAGAAACCCTGGACGCTGTGGTTCCAATTCTATTTAACAAATAACCCTTGCCCATATAAAAGATGGCGCTTACGTGCGTGCGTGCGGCGTCGCATCATGGATGTGCATGCACGTTTTGGGGTCAGAGGTCATATATAAGCCAGTTACAACTTTTGAACAAAATTACCTTTTGATCAGTGCCCTGTCGTGGTTTCCCTTAGTAGGTTATCCGACAGCTTGTTCCTGAGCATTTATTTCTGGTTACTGACTTTGGCTTTGTTTTAACTTCCCTGTATTCTGGTATCCCTGACTTTTGGCTTTCCCTCATCTTTGTGTCTCCTTCTTTGTCCCTGACCTCGGCGTGCTGGATCTACTAGTAATCCTGACAATACGACATGGCCATAGACCCTGCAGATTTGTGTCAGCACATAGCAGCTTGCGAGAGAAAGCTAGAGGAGAATGATCACCGTGTTGGATCAATTTGCCCAGGCTTTCAGTACACTTCTTACTTGAACAGCGCATCTACAGCCTGAGGTTTCTCCGACGATGCCACCTCCACCTATAGTACCTAAGGCAACAACTATCTCCTTATATCACCTCCGCATTTTGATGGTAATATTCAAAAATGCCGGGGATGTCTGAATCAAATTGAGTACCACTTTGAGGCCTCACCGGGTTCTTTTCCATCTGATAGAGCTAAGATTGGTTACCTAATGAACCAACTAAAAGGTAAAGCCTTAACTTGGGCCAATCCTTTATGGGAGAGTAGGAGTATTGCGTATAACTACCAGAAATTCCTTATGGAATTCAAATTAACATTCAAACCATTAGGCAGGGAGGATGTTGCGTCCACTGCCCTAATGCATATCAAACAATGGAACCGGTCTATCTCGGAATATGCCATAGAATTTCGTACCTTTGCTTCTGAGGTAAACTGGACTAATAGCGGACTAATCTCTGCATTTAAAAAAGGATTATCCGAGGCAATTCTGGATGAAATTGCTGCCAAAGATCTACCTAAAAGGTTAAATGAGTTTATCACATATGTCATGCAGATTGATAACAGAAATAAAACCAGACGCATGGCTATGCCATTAGCACCTCGTTTCTCCAGGCCTATTGTTCCTGACCTCCTTGTACAGTCCGAACCCAAACCTATTCAGTTGGGGGTCACTAGACTTTCAGAGGCAGAGAGACAATATAGGAGAAAAGAGGGTCTGTGTTTATACTGCGATAAAAAAGGACATATGAGGAGTGCTTGTCTCATACGTCCGGAAAACTTCCGCACCTAAGAACCTTAAGGGGACAGGTCTTAGGTGTGATGGATACGTCCTCTGGTAATAACCAAAATAGATTCCTCCTTGATATTACGACCAAATGTAACAAGAAGAACATTTCATGCAAAGCCCTGATGGACTCAGGTGCGGCAGGAAACTTAATTGACATACTTTTTGTTAAAAAACATTTAAAACCTATTAAAGAGAGATCATCACGTCTGGCCGTTGAGGCTATTGACGGGAGACCTCTCTCTCAACCCTTGATTACCCATGAAACCTTGCCTATTAACATTTCCATTGGAGCTTTACACAAGGAAGACATAATGTTTCAAATAACTGCTTCTCCTTCTTGTCCGATCATATTAGGATTTCCTTGGCTTATTAAACACAATCCTCAAATTGACTGGGCAAAGGGGAAATATTGGAGTGGGGCAAGGACTGTACTGAGAGATGTATGTTACACATTACCAAAAGAGTGGCATCATTACATTACCCACTACTACACCTCAGGCCTCTGAAGTTCCCATACAATACTGGGAGGTTAAGGAAGTATACAGTAAGAGTCAGACCAATATTCTACCTCCTCACAGATCTTATGACCGCTCCATAAATCTGCTACCCGGCGCTATGCCACCCAAGGGAGCAGTATATGCCTTATATATACACACAGGAGAGTAGAATAATGGAAGAGTACATCCAAGACTCCCTACGTAAGGGCCACATACGTAAATCATCCACGCCTGCTGGTGCAGGGTTCTTTTTTGTATCTAAAAAGGATGGTGAATTACGTCCATGCATTGACTACAGGGCATTAAACAAGATCACCAATAAAGATGCCTATCCCATTCCACTCATTTCCAAATAGTTTGACAGACTCCAGGGTACTAAAGTCTTTACCAAACTTGACCTCAGGAGTGCGTATAATTTGGTAACGATATAGGAAAATCATGAGTGGAAAACGGCATTTAACACTACAAGTGGGCACTATGAGTACCTTGTGATGCCCTTCGGGTTATGCAATGCTCCGGCCGTGTTTCAGGACTTTATTAACGATGTACTCAGAGACTATATTTATTATTTTGTTCTAGTATACCTGGATGATATCCTTTTTTATTACCTTGACCTTCAGACTCACCACAAACATGTCAAACAAGTGCTGCAAACCTTGCTTGAAAACAAACTTGAAAAAAAGCATCTTTGACCAGACTGAAGTACAGTTTTTGGGGTATTACATTTCTGCCTCTGGTTTTCAGATGGACCCTCATAAACTATAGGTTGTTCTGCATTGGCCATTGCCCAATGGACTAAAAGCCATCCAAAGGTTTATTGGGTTTGCTAATTATTACAGGAGATTTATCAAAGGGTTCTCTTCTGTGATATTCCCCATCACCAATATGACACGCAAGGGGGCTAGTTGTACGATATGGTCAAAGGAAGCTAGAGAAGCTTTTGAACTTCTTAAAAAATAGTTTGCTTCAGCTAACAGTTTGGTACATCCTGACACTAGCAAAACCTTCATACTGGAGGTTGATGCTTCCGAAACTGGGGTGGGGGCTGTTCTTTCTCAGAGGGAGAGTCAGGATACCCCTTTGCATCCATGTGGGTACTTCTCTAGAAAGTTGTCTCCAGCTGAGCGTAATTATGATATTGGTAACGCCTTATTTAGACAGTTTGACACCAAATCAGTACAAGAACGAGAGACATCCCCTATTGTTCCACCTAGTGTATCATTGCTTCCACTGTTCTTTCCTTGTCATCCCCTCTGCTTGGTGCCATCATGGAGGCTCAGTCTCAGGCACCATGCAATAAACCTCTAGATAAATTATTTGTTCCATTGGGTGAAAGGGAAAATGTCATGAGGGTGTTCCACAACAACATGACTGCTGGATATCCAGGCATTAATAAATCCATACACGCGATCATGAGATCATTTTGGTGGGATTCTCTCAGGAAAGATGTTAGAGACTATGTGCAGGCCTGTTCTGTCTGTGCAGTTTCTAAGGTTCCTCATAAACTTCCATGTGGATTATTGCATCCACTTCCTGTACCTAGTGGTCCATGGTCCCATTTGTCCATGGATTTCATCGTAGAACTTCCTAGTTCTAATGGCTATACCACCATCCTTATGGTGGTTGACCGCTTTTCTAAGATGGCTCATTTTGTTCCGCTCAAAAAATTGCCGTCCTCTCAAGATCTGGTTCTTATTTTTATATGAGAAATTGTCAGACTTCATGGCATTCCTCACAATATTGTATCTGACAGAGGTTCTCAGTTTGTGTCTCGGTTTTGGAGAGCCTTCAATAAACAGCTGAGCATTAAATTGTCGTTTCTTCCTCTTACCATCCCTAAACCAATGGTGTGGCTGAGAGGGCTAACCAGTCATTGGAATTGTATTTGCGTTGTTTTGTTAATGGCACACAAAATAATTAGTCTGAATTACTACCCTGGGTCGAGTTTGCTAAGAACAATGCTACCCATGACTCTTCCGGACATAGTCCATTCTTAATACTACTGTTGTTCTGGCTGTTTTCTGTGGCACAGCTATCCCTGCTTTGGATGATCACCTTACTTCTATTCGTAAAACTTGGACCAAAGTTCATTCCGCTTTCGAAACTGCGGCTGATCGTTTCGAATTTAATGCTGATAAATGGCGGGGTGCCAACCCTGTTTACCAATTGGGTGAGAGGGTGTGGTTATCATTGCGCAACATCAAACTAAAAGTTCCTAGCATGAAGTTTGCCCCCATATTTCTTGTTCCATTTCTTGTTATTTGGAGAATTAACCCTGTTTCTTATTCTCTGGCCCTTCCAGCCTCCTTGTGCATACCTAATACATTTCATGTCTCCTTACTCAAATCGCTTACTTGCAATAGGTATACTGTCCCTGTTGTTCCCCCTCCTCCTTTGGTCGTTTCTGGACAGGAGTCCAAATTCTTCCATAATTGATTCCAGGTTCTCTCGTGGTTCCTTACAGTATTTAGTGGATTGGAGGGGGTATGGGCCTGCCGATCGTTCTTGGTTCCCGGCTTCCGACATACATGCTGGCTGCAAGATTCATTCTTTTCACGCCAAATTCCTTCTTAAACCTGGTCCTGCCCACCCAGTGGGTGGTCTTGAAGTAGGGTGTACTGTCACCGTGCCGCAGGCTTCTTTCGGTGTGACCGCACTGAAAACCAGCGGCCACGCTGACAGAAATAACACTCACCTTAGATCAAGACCCGACCTCCTTCCATCTCAGTTCCTGGCGTGTGTGGCGTTATCAGAGACCCTGGCCGCTGTGGTTCCAATTCTATTAAAGAAATATCCCTTGCCCATATTAAAGATGGTGCTTACGTGCGTGCGGCGTCGCGTCAAGGATGTGCACGCACATTTTGGGGT